AGAGGGGAGGATGCCACTCAATGTATTTTTTGTAAAGTAGATTCTGAGACCATTAATCATGTACTGCTTTATTGTCCCTTTATCTGGCAAATTTGGTCTAACATCATAGATTGGTGGGGCTTATGTTGGGTATGCCCAGGCTCTGTGGCAGACTTATTTGTTCTGTGGTCTGGTACTAAAATCAGGAAGAAAGAACTCCAAATATGGAATGCCATCCCACTTGCTGTTATGTGGTCAATTTGGAAGCTCAAGAATGACTGTGTGTTCAATAGTGCTCATCCTAACTTCATGGAGCTCTGTGAGCTTATCAAGATTAGAGTTGCAATCTGGTTAAAGTCCCATTCAGTTGGGAGACTTGCCAATCTCAATGTAATGCAGGAGAATTAATTATTTTAGGAAACTAACAAAAAGTTTCTAAATTCAATTCCCATACTTCCATCCAAATGTAGGCTTCAAGATCAACATAGACTAAGTTTAGATGATAGGAATCTTTAAACTGAATGTCTCTTTTCCGCTATCTTAAATAAATATTGACTTCTTTTTCATCTTGCCCTTTTCCATTTCTTTTTATTTTGCTACACAAATCCTTCACTCCAAGCATAAGCTATGTATGGTAAACCACTGACTTTTAGATTAGATATTGTTGTCGTTGACTAAATCTTGGACTTAATTAATTAAAGGAGAAGACATGATAGTTTTCTTTACCATTTATAATCAAACATTATTCTTGTATGTCAATTCATAAATATGGACTGAGATATAAATCTATGATCGATTTTAGTATTCCTATAAGAACTGATCTTTAGAAGTACACTTACACACTTCATGTTTTAGTGTCCATGAAGTTCACATAATCTTACATCGACCCCTTGCTTACAAGTTGTTTTTTGATTAACCTCAAACTTAGTTCTTACTGAACATATAAATAACAAACAAGCCATTTTCTTCAATAATTTAAGCTCTTAAATGAGATGTTGGTTAATAATTGACCATTTTATCAAAATAAACAATGTTTTGTGTGTTCAAATTAATTACAATAATTGCACGTATTTGATCTTTTTATAAATAAGAGTCATTTGAAAAGCGTGTACAAGACATATATGTACATGATATCTTTTCCTTTGAACACTATTTTTTTTCTAATTACATTAAGTCTTAGGTTACATTTAGATCTACAATTTGTAGAGAAAATAAAAGAAAAAGAAAAAGAAAAAGAAAAAGGAACCAACATATGTGTTCTCATATGTTCTTCAACTAATCTTTGCTTGAGTTGTAGGTGACAATAATTGGATAAGAGTTGGATGATGATCAGTAATAGGTAGACAAGTAAAGAGTATCAAGAAGGGGTGAAGTCATTCCTTGACTTTGCAACGGCAAATTTAGGCCTAGAGGATTAAATTAGGTGTCCATGTGTTGATTGCGTTAATGGTACAAAATATAGTAGACAAGCTATGTGGATGCAATTGATTCGAAGAGGAATTGTGTCTTCGTATATAACTTGGATACACCACGGAGAACATGTTCCCGTGTCTCATCCTAGTGTATCAGATGACCATTGTGGAGGTAGTGGAGAAGGTATGCCAAATATCGATCATCCAATGACGAGTAAATCACCTATTATGTTGGAAGAAAATTACATGAGTGGTTTTAAGGATTATCATAATGACGAGGAACCTAATCGTTTGGAGAAGGAGGATTTGCAGAAATACAGGTGGTTGAGAAATCAAACTTTTTAAAAAAAATTATAAAGTTTTTGACAACTAAATATGTTGGTAGCCAAAAATGCAAGCAAAGGTTTTGCTGACTAAATATTTAGAAGTAAAAAATGAACAAATGGCTTTTGATGACCAAACAGTTAGTAGCTAAAACAAATGATAATAAGGAAATAAATTACTCCTGACTAAATATTTTGGTCATGGAAAACATGGCATCCTTTGGTGACCAAACACCCTTTTGGCAACTAAAATGTTTAGTCGTGAAAATTAACAACGACCAAACAATTTGGTTGCAAAAGAATGAAATGAAAACTTCCACCATTTTGGTGACTAAAATGTTTAGTCTCCATTAACTGAATATCACTTTCAGCGATTAATATTTTTAGTCGCCAAAATGTTTCATTTGGCGACTAATAAAAGTTTAGTAGCGTAAAGTATAGTATTAGTGACTAAGCAAAGTTTAGTCAGCAATACTATCACTGACAGTGAATTAGCGACTATCTGGGTGACAAAAAAAAAAATAGTTGCTAATGACCTTTTGCGACTAAATATGGGGCTTTGGCGACAAATAATTTAGTCAGTGAATGTTGCAATTGCTGTAGTGATATCAGGTGATTGAGATTAAATTTATAAAATTATATAAAAAGTAATTTTGTCTCTTTTGTAAAATGTAGGCAATAAAGTTTTTTCAACTCCAATCTCAAGTTCCCATGGGAATGCTAATCCTTAGAGTAGTTTTATAGTCTCATGACTTTTTTTAAAAACCAAACAGAATTTTTAGAGAATATTACACTAATAATCCTTACTTTTCATTTTTTGTGTCATTTTGCTCCTTATATTTTTAATTGTCTTAATTTTGACTTTTAATTTTAGATTTTGTGTCAATGTAATCCAATTAACAATGTAGTTAGGGATTTTGATAAAAAATGATCATTAACTTGGTTGAGCGTAACTCATTAAGTGATGCAAGTATACAATTTTTTTTTGCTAAAAGCATAATACATGTCATTTGTGTGTATTTTTCATAAAAAAATAAAAAAATAATAACAATTGTTATCAATTGACCCAAACTGAGAAAAAATTATAAAAATTAAAGATTAAAATCGAGTCAATTAAAGTTATAAGAACCAAAATGACATAGATCAAAATATAAGGACTACCAGCGTAATTTTTCTTACTTTTTATGGGATCCAAAAATCAACAATCAAATGCCCCTCCTCAAACCCCTAAACAAAGATCACCTAGAGTTGAAAAGGGTTTCAGACAACAATTGCACCTTATGGGGGAGATCATCAATATTGTCATATATGGATAGATATCTTATTTTCAACACAAAAATTCCAAATGGTGTTATATACATCAATTACTATACCAATTAGGTCATGTTTGTTTGGGCGGACTGGATTAGCATTCCCATGACTAATAGTTCTAGGACTACGAATCCATTGGATTATATATCCTATCTTAACTAATAGTCAAGTTTAAAATAATTAGTCTGTATCTCAATTATTTAACCAAATATCGGATTAATAATTTTATTGGACTATTAGTCCAATCCCAAGCTCATGTCCACCCAAACAAACATGGCCTTAGTGTATTAACACATGCTATAGTAATGTAATTTCAAAATTATGGACTCTATCCATTATACAAGCTATAAAAACTCAAAACAAATAAAATTATACTACATCATCCGTTAATAAACTAATTGATCTATTAATTGGTGCGTAAAGCTTTATTTCAAAAACCCTCATGATTTTGATTTCATAAAGCAAGTTTTTTTTAGCCTAAAAGAGATTAAATGGGCTAAGAGCATGGCACAAAATCTAGAGGACAATGTACTATATAGGGTAAAGTTTACAAAAAATGAAATGGATGGAACGTGAGGCATGTTTGCTTGTCCACTCTTTAAAAGAAAAGGCTTATTTTTATGATTTCTTTCTCAACACAAATTGGTTCTATTTGGAAAGTATTGAGCAAAGTGGGAGATGATTGGGGAAAAAGATGGTCTGTATGAGCCCTTTTATGTGCTGATAACAGAAAACGTTTCACAAAGTGAGAATTTAAAGGCAACCCTTTTGTTGACAACATTGTCTCATCTTCAAAATTTGCTAAATTTAGATGTTCCACATTTTCATAGATAGGCCACCAAGGTAACTCAATATTTAATAGCTATTTTTAGCAAAATTCTCTAATAAAGTAGAGTTTGATCTAATTGGCATAATCATGCTGATTTCCAAAATAGGATATATATATATATATATTTATATAAATATATTTTTTCGGCATGTCTATCAAGATGTGGCAATATTCCAACGTAAAACGACAATAAAAAGTAGGATAAGTGAATTACTTGGAATTATAACAGTCTTCTTTGTATACGAAAATTTGTACATGAGAATTTCGTGTGAAATCTCATAAGGATATTTGTTTAATTAATGAGTTGTTTGAAGTTATAATGACGGTTGTACTTGAGGAATTGTACACTAGAATTTAGCATACGACAGTGGTATCGGATTATTTTTCGCAAAATGGACACTATTGAGTGGATGAAAGAAGTGTAATTTGTGGTTGATACATGTAGTCAATCCAAATAAACTAAGGCCTCGTTTGGGAACAGGCTAATTTAGTAACTTTTTGGCTATTTGGCTAAAAATGTAGGTAAAAAAACTTGTATGTTTGGGATGACTTTTTGGCTAATTACGAAAAGATGTGCAAAAAGTAGAGAGAAAAGAGAATCTTTGACTTTTTGGTATGGGTTGTTGGCTTTTTGGCTAATTTAGTAACTTTTTGACTAATTGGCTAAAATAGCCTCTTGCCAAACGAGGCCTAAGTCCAACCTTCTAAATTTAGTGAGGGATCTAAGTGCGTTAAATTTCAAAATACTCTTTTTCAAGTAATGGTAAAAAATGAAATTCAAAAAAATGAAAAGTCATTACTTTATTAAAAATGTTAAATTGCCGATAATCTTCAACACTTTAGGGTTGAGCAACAATTGCACATGAAAGCATAGCCAAGTCTTAAGTAAACATTAAACTAAAACAGTTGGTACTTAAAAAAAACACTACATAATGTCTTACAAAACACTTACCAACAAAAAAATTCTTGTTGGAGGGAAGGACCACATTTTAAAAAACTACATAATGTCTCACAAAACACTTACCAAATTAACCAGCACTCCCAAATTAGATGAACTAAGACAAACATAACGAAAGAGAATTAGATAACCAAACTAAAGAGAGAGAAGTACAAGTTCCCGCTGCATTTGATGTCTCCACCGGGTTCTTAGCATATGTCAGGCATGTTGTTCCAACAGCATAAGCTCCTAGTTTGATCAGGGTTTGTAGTCTCCATTGTGGTGGCAACCGCAGAGGGTGAAGCTTCTGGAAGATTATTGAGTCCTAAGTATCCATCCATCATGTTTGATGATTGTCCAAATGAACTAGTTCCAATTGCATCATACCAATAAGGGACAGGCACAGTCATTGGGAAGTTGTTGAGCAGGCTGGACAAATCATCATCCATGTCAAACATCTCTTCCCACTGGTCATTTTCTTTCATCCCTATGTGAACCACAATTAATTGTGTATTTATGTGAATAAAATTGAAATGTAGACAAATATAAACTAAACAATTGGGATTACAAATCTCTCTCTCTCTCTCTCTTTTTGTCGGCAAAATAAAAATTTATTGATGAATTATGTAGAATTACAAAAATCTGGCTGCATTTACGCCAAGTTTTGGTTTAAATGATAATTACAAGTCACAATTACTACCCATTACCAAAAAAAAGTTGACGCATTAAATAAGATTCGCTATTGAAACAGATGCAATTAATTTAGCAGCGAAGCAGAAAGAGGGCACGGGATTCTCCGTCCATGTAATCCTTATCCCAATCCCTTATCCCATCGTAAATGTGACACATTAATCTAATTTCAATTCAAAAGATGTTTAATCTTGAAGTGGGAAAGGGCATGGGACAGAGATTTGGGGCAAAGAATCCTATGCTAAAAAATGAATCCTAGTGAATTTGTTTACTTGTTACAATTGAGCAAAAGGGGCGACATATTTTTTTCTAAATTCAAAATGACGCTTAAATAATAATAATAATAATAATAATAATAATAATAATAATAATAATAATAATAATAATAATAATAATAATAATAATAATAATAATAATAATAATAATAATAATAATAATAATAATAATAATAATAATAATAATAATAATAATAATAATAATAATAATAATAATAATAATAATAATAATAATAATAATAATAATAATAATAATAATAATAATAATAATAATAATAATAATAATAATAATAATAATAATAATAATAATAATAATAATAATAATAATAATAATAATAATAATAATAATAATAATAATAATAATAATAATAATAATAATAATAATAATAATAATAATAATAATAATAATAATAATAATAATAATAATAATAATAATAATAATAATAATAATAATAATAATAATAATAATAATAATAATAATAATAATAATAATAATAATAATAATAATAATAATAATAATAATAATAATAATAATAATAATAATAATAATAATAATAATAATAATAATAATAATAATAATAATAATAATAATAATAATAATAATAATAATAATAATAATAATAATAATAATAATAATAATAATAATAATAATAATAATAATAATAATAATAATAATAATAATAATAATAATAATAATAATAATAATAATAATAATAATAATAATAATAATAATAATAATAATAATAATAATAATAATAATAATAATAATAATAATAATAATAATAATAATAATAATAATAATAATAATAATAATAATAATAATAATAATAATAATAATAATAATAATAATAATAATAATAATAATAATAATAATAATAATAATAATAATAATAATAATAATAATAATAATAATAATAATAAAAAAGGAGAGATAATCGCGTTACGGAATGAATCGAGGAATTAAAGATCCCGACGTGGAGACAAAATCCTGTGGATTTCCCCAATGAATTCATCATTTTCTTCTTGTGAAGGCGTTCAGCTTTGGATCTTTGAAGATCTATCTTCATGAGAAGCAGATTTATGCACCTTTTATTACTAAAAGTATTAGCATTATCTTTCTTCTCATTACCAGTAGCATTATCTTTCTTTTCATTACCAGTAGCATTATTATTAGCATCTATACCATGACGAAACAATTCATTTAATGAATACATAGCTCTTTCGC